GCTGGCGTCAGGAACCAAGGGAAAGTTCTAGAAGCTACTGATCGTATTATTCAAACGCAAGCTGATTACCTTCATCATCATTACACGAATATACTGAACATTCCAAGATATTCGAATCGGTTGGAAAAACTTATGAAAGTGAATAAGTTGATTGAATCGAGTGTCAGATTACGGAGGGATAGGAACCAGATTTCGAAGCTTTTTGATGTGTTTTCTGTAGATTTTTCTCATCCAGAAATGTTTGAGTTGACTTAAGATTTTTTTTTCTTTTTTGTTTTGGTAACTTATGTTAGTCCCCATCTAAACTATAGTTCCCATTGCATGTTAGCGGTCGTTCGGGACCACCACGAGCCCGTAGCTCAGTCTGTATAAAGTTCAACTACTTAAGAGACGAAAATTTTTTCTTCGGAATTTGCGGGGTCTCTACAGGTAACTCAAAAATAAGCAAACGCGCTGTACTGCTCTTTCAGCTCTTCCTGTATGAGTCATTTTCTTAACACTCGACATCAACAGAAGAGTATCAGTGAGGATTGCCTTTATCTCAATATTTTTACCAGTGAAAATTGCTTGGTATTTTTGACTCTCACAAAAAAACAAAAAATCTTTTTCAGACAGAAAAGTGCGCAGTTATAGTTTATTTTCATGGCGGAGCCTTTCTCGCAGAATCCGCTGTGATGTTTTCGGATGAATTCATTTTGGAGAGATATGTGTCAGAAGACGTGGTTTTTGTCACATCCGCATATCGTTTGGGGGTTTTTGGGCAGTTGTATTTTGGACCAAATGGAGTGCTAAGCGAGAATCTTTTGGTCCATGGTGAGAACTAATTAGCAATCATAATGGAAGCTCAAATTTAATCTGCAAGTACGGGCTAGAAAACTACACTTGCAAAAGCTAGGCAATCATGTTAAAATGAGCTAGAAAACGCACCAGGTGAATGTCAAGTCATTTCTAGGCCATGAAAGTTAATGGTCTAAAAAAGTCAACTTGCGAAAGCTAGGAAAACTTGTGAAAGCTCGCGAAAGCTAGGAAAATGAGATAGCGTTACTCAAATTTGGGTTTTCGATCCCAATTCGAAACTAAACTTTCAGATTCCGTGAAATCTCTCGAATTCGTCCATAATGAAATTTCAAACTTTGGAGGAAACCCTAAACAAGTCACTATTATGGGACACTCAGCTGGCGCGGCTCTCGTCAATTTTTTGGGATTTTCAGAGTAATTAAAAACTGAATTTTCTCACCAAAAAATATCAGTTTTCAGTATTATTGATCCAACACTGTTCCAACAGATTATTGCGATCAGTGCACCCATGAGTTTTATATTTTATGATGACGCAATTAACAATTCGTATAAATTTGCTGAAAAATTGGGGGTATTTTTTGTTAGGGAGAACGTTGATATTTAAAAACTTCAAATTTTCAGTGTTTCGGTGGAAATCGGAGTTCAATGGATGTCAAAAGTACGCTGAACTGTTTGCAAAAGTTTAATGATACAGAGATATTGAATGCACAAACTGAAATGGTACAAACGAATTTCAATAGTTTCAATGGAGTCATTCAAGGAGAGCCGGTTATGAAGCGAAATGGAAAAATTGCGAATTTTAAAAAGAATGCACCTGTGAGTTTTATTCGAAGATGGAGACACTACACCTTTGAAGTACCACACCATCGAGGTGCCGTAGCCCGGAACTCTTCAAAAATGCAGAAAATCTTCTAGATTTTACGAAAGAAAACTAGAGATTCCGAAAAAATATAAGAGTTTAATTCAGAAAAGACACATAGTATGTGGATCTACTCAACTGGAGTTTGGAAAAGACCCATTTCAATATAAACCAGCTGGAAATTTTTTGGACATTGAAAATCCAAAGGAGGTGTTTGATTTTTATGACACGAAAATGCATAATACCGGTTAGTTTTTAGGACCTACCTACCTGATCTATGTTTGAAGTATAACAGAACCAAGATGGACGGATCCGAGTTCTGCGTCCGTATACATTTCCTCTAGAACATACTGTGAAGCTATGGCAAATGCCGGAGCCAACGCTTATATCTATGAAACGCGACAGAAACCGGAATCGCTTCATGTGTCGGATATGCAGTATTTCATTGGGATCCATAGAGAGAAGGTTCATACTTCGGATATGGATATTTTGGATAGTTTTTACTCAAAAATGTTGGTTAACTTTACAAAAACCGGGGTGCCGGCGCCAGGTAATTATCAATTTTGAATTGAAAATTGGAAAAAAGGTAGTTATGAGAAACTTCAGGATGGGAGAAACTAGACCCAAAACGAATGAACTATCTGGAGCTCAAGGTCGATACAGAACTGGGAAAAGGTCCAAGGATGCTGGAAAATTATCATGACAAGGAAATGGAGACTTGGTTTGGAGAAGTTATGGAATATGATAGGAATGTTACGAAACAGGTGATGAGGTGTTTTTGAATTTAGTCAAAAATTTCAATTTTTAGAAACTCATGGAATTTTCTTCATCTACCGGAAACATATCAGAGAGTCAATCAATTTTCGGGCAGTTGTGGTTTCACCCAATTATTTTGCTTATTGTGATTATTATCATTTTGGTACTGCTTTGTTTCAAAAAGCGATTTCAGACTGGAGAGACAACTCCGTTGTTGAGTTGAATAAATTTTTTTTTACTTTTGATGGAATAAAGTTTTTTTAATATGAAAACTTCTCCTCTTGGAGTTTTACTTCCCTGTTCTCTGAATAGTCTATTCCTAGACGCACCTAGTACGTGAGTATACAATGCTTACACCGAAAAATTGTCTTATCAGATTTCAAGAACAAAATGTTCTTACACAACTAGAATGGAAGACCGTTTTCAGTTAATGTCTCAAGTCAGTGTCTGAAAATGTTGCGATTTTTGTTCTATTTTTTAGCTATTTTCATTCATGTAGAATGCTTCAAAACTATCAATACAAGTCTTGGTAAAGTTCAAGGGACCACAATACTTTCTGATGATGGAAATCATAAATATTTGTTCAAAGTGAGCAGTTGAAAAAAGACTAAAGCAAAACCGGATTTTTCAGAGTCTTCCATTTGCAAAACCACTGATTGGAGAGCTTAGATTTGAATTACCCCAATATCCAGAGTCATGGACTGGTATACTAAATGCAACTGATTATAGGTAATGTACTATTAGAAGTGTTGGAAATTGGAAACTTCCAGCTCCTCCTGCATGAGCAACTTCATCAACACTACGCACCCCCAAAAGAGTATTAGTGAAGATTGTCTTTATCTGAATATCTTCACAAGTGAAACATGCTTGGTAACTTTTAGATCTAATCGGTATCATTTTTCAGTGAAAAATAAAAATTTCAGACAAAAAAGTGTCCACTGTTGTTATATATTCATGGTGGAGCCTTTCGCGCAGAATCCGCTGTGATGTTTTCGGATGAATTCATTTTGGAGAGATATGTGTCAGAAGACGTGGTTTTTGTCACATCCGCATATCGTTTGGGTGTTTTTGGGCAGTTGTACTTTGGACAAAATGGAGGGATCAGTGAGAATCTTTTGGTGCATGGTAAGGACTTATTTGTCATCTAGCGTGCCCTAGAAAACTCAAGAAAACTCTTGCGAAAGTCAGGCCACTATTAGAAATTAAGGTTCCGTTTCAAATGTTTCATTTATGAAATCACGTGAAATTTGACACTTTTGATTAATCAAATTGCTCAAAAATTATTTTTTTTCAAGGAAAATAATCATCAAAATTGTCAAACGTTTCAAATTAAAAAAAATGAATCGTTAAAAGAGTCAAACGTGGCAAATGAAAAATAGTGAAAACTAAATTTCGTCAAAACTGTCAAATGAGTCGGAAGTGAAGAGTCGGAAGTGTCGGACAACTTCGAAAGTTACGAAAAATAATCAGTAGTATTTTCAAAGAGGCTAATTGAAATTCTATTGTCTATTCAAAATAATCGCGCGAGTGAACGAGTAAAAATGTCTGCGTCTCTACAGCGCCTCTACAGGTTTGGAGACTCTCTACACGTTTTTTTACTCGTTCACCCGCGCGATTATTTTTAATAGACAATATTATTATTCACCGGAAAGCAGAATGAAGGATCCGCAATCCAGATTACGGGATCCGGAACACGGATCCCTCAAACCGGAATCCAGAATCCGGAATTCAGAATCTGGAATTCGGAATCCGGAATTTGGAATTCGGAACCCAGAATCCGGAATTCGGAATGAAGAATCCGGAATCCGGAATCCAGAATCGCGAATACTTGATCTTGAATCCGGAAAACGGAGTCCTCAATCCGGAATACGAAATCCGGAATCCAAAATCCGGAATCAGAGATCAGGACATTTCTGCTCCGCACTACAATACAACTTTTCATTGTTTTGTAATATCTTCCCCAATTCGCATTAAAAAAATCCTTCGACTCTTTCAACGCATTTAATATCATAATTGACTAAAGTCAATAAAATTTTTTTGAATCTTTTGACAAACGACTCTTTTGACTTTCTGACACTTTTGATTATTTTGAGGCTTGAAAATTTTTGATTTTTTTTGAAATTTTGACGAAAAGTCAACTTCTCTTCAAAAGTTTCAAAAAAAAACATTTGAAACGGAACCTTATAAGAAATGACCAATAAAATTTGAAACGCATTTAGACTTATTCCAGACGCAATAAAATCGCTTCAATTTATTCATAAAGAGATTTCCAATTTCGGGGGAATCACTAACCAAGTGACCCTAATGGGACACTCAGCTGGTGGAGCATTAGTACAATTTCTTGGATTTTCTGAATTGATCGATCCAAATGCTAGACTATTCCAACAAATGATCGCTTTGAGTGCTCATGGAGCATTTGTGTTTTATGAAGGTGCTATTGGTCAGTCCTTTGAGTTGGCTGAAAAACTTGGGGTAAAACTTACTTGATTTTTTCTTCGGGAGCTAGACTCATATTTTTAGTGTTTTCAAGGAAATCGAAATGACACTCAAGTATCGAAAATTGTGGATTGCTTGAGAAAACTTGATAGCTCTGAAATTCTAAAAATTCAAACTCAAACGGCCCAAGCGGATTTTCATTCGTTCCTGGGTATTGTGCCAGGTCCTCCTGTTATGAAATCAAACCAGACGATCTCAAATTTTAAGAAGAATGCACCGGTGAGCCTTCTTTGTTATGAAAACACTAACAAGGGAACCACAACACCTCGTCAGTTTGGATTTTGATGAAATTTTCAGTATATGTCAAGGATAGCCTATCTAGACATCCCTGAAAATTTTAGAACACGCTCGCCAGTTTCAGCCGAGTTATATCAGTTTCAGTACCAAAAATCGCGTTTTCAGTGCAAAAATAGCGATTTTCAAAGGCGATTTTCTCCGCTCCCAGGAGGTTCCAGGAAATGAAATTTGTTTTGATATACTCAGAATTATGTGTAATATCATATTTCAGACATTTTCTGAAAAATTTTTTTTTGAAAAAATTTGAGATTTTTTTCCACCATTTGGGTGGGTGATTTTATCGAGATTTTGTCAATTTGGAAAATTTCCTTGAAAAAATAGTGATAATTGTTTGCAAATATTATTTTACATCTGATAGGTAATATATTTTTTTGATTGCACGCTTTTCATTATTCATTCATGGTCCGTATAGGTCCAAAAATACAGCTTCAAAACCACCACAGTGATTGAACATTCAAATTTTTTTGGAACTTTTTTGAAAACTTTTTTTCTAAATTTTGTCTCTACTCTTTTGAATTGATAAAATATTGAAAAATATGTCAGAGGGATCCTGAAATGTCGCAAAATAAGAAAATTAAAAAAAAGAAAAAGAAAAAAACACTAGAGAGTCCGAACCCACAGCCTTGTGACTACTGGCGCCCACCACATCCCCGACACCACGCCGTCGACATTTACTATTGATTCAAACTCCTTTTAAAGGGATTTCGGGGATGAAATGTGTGGTAAATCATGCAAATCAACGGATTTCAGTACTAAAACATTGGACGGATATAACTCTGCTGAAATTGACGAGCGTGTTCTAAAATTTTCAGGGATGTCTAGATAGGCTATCCTTGACATATACTGAAATTTTCATCAAAATCCAAACTGACGAGGTGTTGTCGTTCCCTTGTAAGTACATTTTTTTAGAAAAGAAATATGATTTGTGGAAGCACTGAGCTAGAATTTGCTGTTGACAAATTTAAGTATCCTGTTCCCGGAAGATTTTTGGATATTGACAATTTCAAAGAAGATTTAGATTACTACTATAAAAATATGGAATTACATGGTAGGATCTAAAAAAAGTGAATAGGGAATTCGTGAAAAATTTAGACCCAACATGGACGGATCCAAACTCTGCGTCAGTATACATTTCTTCTAGAACATATTGTGAAGCTATGGCAAATGCCGGAGCCAACGCTTTCATTTTCGAAACTCGACAAAAACCAATATCCATGCATGTCACAGATATGCAGTATTTTATTGGGATCCATAGAGAGAAGGTTCATACACCAGACATGGATATTTTGGATAGTTTTTACTCAAAAATGATGGTTAATTTTACAAAAACCGGTGTACCGGCGCCAGGTGATTACCAATTTTGAATATGAAAACTTTTTCAAAAATTACTTTTTAAAGTTCTAGCATGGGAAAAACTAGACCCAAAACGAATGAACTATCTGGAGCTGAAAGTGGATTCAGAACTGGGAGAAGGTCCAAGGATGCTGGAAAATTATCATGACAATGAAATGGAAATTTGGTTTGGAGAAGTTATGGAATATGATAGGAATGTTACGAAGCAGGTTGTTTCGAAATTCAAATTTTGTCGTAGATTTCCCATTTTAGAAACTAATGGTCCTCTCTTCATCTACAAGAAGCTTATTAGAGAGTCAATTAATTTTCGGCCAGTGGTGGTTCTACTCAATTATTTTGCTAACTTTGATAATTATCATTTTGGTGCTAATTAGTTTCGGAAAGCGATTTCAGACTGGAGAGAGAACTCCGTTGTTGAGTTGAATACATATTTCATCGAACGCTTCCAGGTTTTTCAAATTTTTAATGCCATTTTCAGAAGGAATACTTTTCGTTGAAGATTCCACTCCTAGATTATAGGCACGTACAACAAAAATTGTCTGATCAGTTTTCAGTAAATTGACGATTTGATTGAAGCATTGAAAAGCCTAAAGATCGATTGTCAGCACTTCCTTGTCAAACAACCTGAATGTGGCGTGTTTGGGGAATAGAAGATCATGATTGGAAAAAAAATGCTTACCTGATTTTTCATAGGCTCAAAAGGTATGACTTTTAGATAGGTGAAACTGAAAACAGGTTTTAAAAAAGGTAGCATTGGCAAAGCTTTAATTTTTAAAACAGACCAAGGCTGTCAAAAACAGGGCCGCGGCTTCATAGTTAGGATATTCATATGATGGATAAGATTTGGCGGCCTAGCCGCCCTATGAGTTTCTGGTTGGCTGAGCTGGTTTCCGAAAGAATTGATGGTTTGGTCCACGGCAATCTACCCACAGTCCGAGCCGCGGTCATTTTTTTGACAACCGTGATCCAGACTAAGTAACAGTAGAAGTATGATGGTGTTAACATTATCGAAACAGCCAACATTCCAAAAAATTATATTTCTGACAATTTTTATTTTCACAAAATTAGGAAAAAATATTTCAAGCACATTCAAACATTTCCGGATGAGAACATTCAACAGAAAATAAGTTAAACACAGTTGCAAGATATTTAATCTCTTTTCGTTCTCGAATTTCTTCTTTAATCTCCTTATTGATTTTCATCAGTTTTGCCAATCTTCCAGAATAATGAGGCATTTTTAGTTTTTTAGTATAATAGTGGTGTAAATTATTTGCTTGAATCTCCATAATTTTTTCTATTGCTGCCAGACATTTTCCATCCAGTTTCTTCGCAGCTTCGGTTAGTGATAAATCGATAATTAGAAAATTGATTTCGATGTTTGAAGGCTCCAGCTCTATGAAAATTTCTAGACATTTCACCCAGTGTTTGTTGATGTCGGGGATCATAATTCTGAAAATTCAGATTTTTTTCATTTTTTAATTTGAAAAAAATCTTACGCCGCTAATTGCTCCTTGCTATAATTCGTACACCATTTCAAATCAACCTCCACATTTTTCAAATCCATACATGCGTCGTCTGTCCATTTATATGAATTTTCTTCTAGAATTTTCCGTCTATGAAGCTCAACAGAGTCGGCTAGTTTGTCTATCCGTGCCCATAACATCCAGGCGATTTGGAGAATTTCTATCTGAAAATGTTTTTTTTAAGTTACGGTACGTAATCTGGAGATACCGTGAACTAGAGTTACCGTAAATTTGATCTACCTTATCTTTGAGGTGTCAATCCATCGAGGTACCGTATCTTTCAGGTACCGTACCCTGGAGATACCGTACCATGGAGATTCAGTACCTTGAAGATACCATAAAAAAAAGACACCTATGTACCGTTAACTTTTGCTACCGTTAACTTTACCGTAAACTACTGTCAACACCACCGTAACTAGCGTAAACACTACTGTAACTAATTTTTTTACCTTAACTTCCATATCTAATCCTCTAAACTCGGCAAGTTCTGAAAACCACTGTGCAGCTCCAAGGAAGTTGAGTTCCCAGAACAGCAAATTCTCATCTTTCCCGATATACTTGACCATTTGAAACTCTGGATTGCCTCGTTTCAACTTCAAGTCCTCTATTGCAAATGTTAATTTCTCTAGACTATTGTCGAATTTCAAAGGAATATCATAGTTTGAATGATGAGCTCCTAGAAGGTTTCGAGCCTTATCGATGAGAAAAGATACATCGATTATCGTTTTGACGTGAGATGCGCGGTCCGGTTCGCAGCACAAAATGAATTCAGGACGACCTAAGAAGTTGGAGAGGCTTTGGGGTGAAGTAGAATTAGAAAGAGCCAGAATAGTGGAAGAAAGTAGATCACGGTCTTGTTGGAATTCTGGAAAAAATGTTTAAAGGGTTGGAAGGAGCCAGAAAATTTGTACAAGCGTTACTAATTATGAAACTAACTTCTTGGGTCCATCCCAACATCGTGGCACTTTTTCAGACGACATGATTTACATTTGTATCTGAAAATATTTTATCAGTGGGTTTGATTGGGAATGAATTTTTGAAAAATCCTGGAGATTCTACCGTAAAACCTGTATTAGAAGGGCCCCTTTAATAGAAGGGCCACTCTAATAGAAGGGCCCTCCGAGAAGGGCTTGGAAAAATAGAAGGCCCCCCCTGTAATAGAAGGGCCCCCGTAATAGAAGGGCCCTCTGTGAAAAAATACCCCCTTCAAAATGTGTTTTGAAATCAGACAATTTTCGTACTTTTTCAGTGAAAAATATTCCGGGAACTTCACAATCTAATAGAAATTTGTTGAAACTCTATTTTTCGATGGAAATCTTGCTCAATTTTGTTCAAAGTGGTAGTTTTTCATGAATTTTGAACGAAACTTCGTTTTTACGGTATATTAGAAAATCTCCAAAAGTGTTAACTCGGAATATCAGAGTTTGGAAGAGAATTTTAATTTCCATTTTTTGAAACTTGAAAAAAAATCAAGACAATTTTTTATTTGAGGGATTTCTAGTTATTTTTAGAAATCGAATTCATGCAACTTTGGATTTTTCGATTAATTCACTTTTCAAAAATTTCAAAAAAAACTCACTTCCCATTTCTAAAAATTATACAATTCGCATTTGTGCATATGACACTTAAATACTTTGAATTGCCAGATGCTGCTCTTCTGTAAAAAAGGAAACTTTCGCTTGAAATTAGCTCAAAAAAAAAAAAACTTTAGCTTTAGCTTTAATACCTTAGCTTAAACTTTAGCTCAATTATTTGCTCACCTAAAAAAAGCGGCACAGGCGCGACAGCTCATCACTCCGAAATGCCGTCCATTTGCTGGTTGGTGACATATTTTACATGGTTCGAATAGTTGGAGGGCTGGTGGCATGGTGTTGCGAAACGTTTCTGTATAGTCTTTTGTATAGGAAAATACTCATGACCTGAATAGACAGAGGCGGTGAGAGAACCAATTTGATAGGAGACAGAAGAACAAATAAAGAGAGATGGATTATCGAAGTTTCAAAGTATCAAAGATTATTGTTTTCGTGGACTACAAAACTTGTACGAGTAGTCTAAAATTCCGGATAGCATTTTCCGGATAGCAAAAACAATTTTCTGTAATCTCGAAAATAAAAATTGTACAGATGAGTCAGTTGTTGTTTAATGGCCTCTATGAGGGTTTCCTTTGAATTCTGAAAATATTAAATCTTGAAAATAAAAAATTTATTCAAGCAATCTCGAACATTTCCGGATGAGAATATTCCACAGTGAATAAGTTTAAAATTTCGGCCAAATAAGCTTTCTCTTTCCGTTCCCTGGCATCTGCTGCAATCGCTTGATTCACTTTCATCAGTTTCGTTAATCGACTAGAATAATTCGGCAATTTCAGCTTTTTCGTGTAATAGTCGTGCAGATTGTTAGCTTGAATTTGCATTAGTTTGTCAGTGGCGTCCAGGATTTTTCCTTGGAACTTTTTGCCAGCTTCGTGAAGGCATAATTGGATGAGCATGAAGTTGAGCTCGATGTTTGAAGGATCGAGTTCGGTTAAAATGGCAACAGATTGTCTCCAATGATCTTCGATAACGGGAATCAGGAAACTGAAATGATTTAGATAATAGGATAGAAGTATCTAGGAATTCAGAAGTCTAGGAATTCAGAAGTCTAGGAATCCACGAGTTTAGGAATCCCGGAATCCAGGAAATCCTGGATCTCAGAAATTATCAAGGAATCCAGAGAACTAGTGGCCTAGGAATCCAGGAATTTGGAAAACCCGGGATCAGGGATCCAAGTTCGGTATCAAGGAGTCTAGGAATCCAAGAATCCGCGGATCTAGGAATTCAGTGAATTGACAAATTCGGAGATTCAAAAATCAAATAACCTAGTAATCTCAGAATCTAGAGACCCAGGAATTAAGGAATCCAGGAATTCGTAGATCAAGATATCTAGGAAATCGAGAGATCTTAAAGTTGAGGAACCCGATAATCCTAGAATCCAGGGATCCAGGGAATCTAAGAATTGGGAAAATCAGGCATCTTGGAAACTAGGAATCCAGGAATCCAGAAATCCAAAAATCAAGGAATATGAAAATCTAGAAAACTTCATAATAGTAAAATCAAGATATCTATGTATAATAAAATTGTTCCAAACTCACTTCCTCAACTGCTCTACTGAATAATTTGTACACCATTTCAAGTCCAATTCAAACGTTTCAACATTTAAGCATGCTCCTTCAGAGCACATGAATACATCACTGCCAAGTACGTGCCGTCTATGATAGTCTGCAGTTTCAGCCAGCTTCTCTAACCGAAGCCATAGCAGCCAAGACGATTTTAGAATTTCTAGCTGAAACTTCTTTGTCTTGGTTAACTATAGTTTTTAAATTGTTACCTTCACATCCATATCTAGACTTGTGAACTCTGGAAATCCGGAAAACCACTGTGCAGCTGCGATAAAATTTGTTTCATAAAAAATCAAAGATTCCGCTTTCCCAATTGTCTTTACAAATTGCACTGGCTTATTTGCTCGTCTAATTTTCATATCTTCCATGGCTAGTGTCATTTTTTCAAGACTGTTCTCATATTTGTAAGGAATAAGTATAGGATCTTTTTGTAGATAACTGCTGGCTTTGTAGATTAAATCTGACACATCTATCATAGTTTTAACATACGACATTTTGTCAGGTTCACAACACAAAATGAATTCCGGACGACCCACAAAACTCGCTAAGCTTTGTGGAGGACTAACTTTTCCCCGTGCCAGATAATTATTGGAGTTGGAAATCAGGTCTCGATCGCTTTGGAATTCTAAAAAATCAGTAAATTTTAAAAGCTCAAATTCTTTAAAAAAAATTTAAGGAACTCACTTCCAGAATCCATCCCAACTTGGTAGCACTTTTTCAACCGACATACTTTACATTGAAATCTTCAAAAAAAAAAGGATTTGATGAAAAAAGTCAACAAAAAACTCACTTTCCATCCTTGAAAATCTCACAGTCTCCTTTTTCACAAGTCTTATCCCTGGCTTTGAAATTTTGATTGGCGGCTCGTCTGAAGAACGCGCCACAGGCGCGACAGCTCATTACTCCGAAATGACGTCCATGTGCTGGTTGGGCGCATACCTCACAGGGACCCGAGAGGTACAAAGGGGCTGGCATAGATTTTTTTTTTCAATCTGAAACTTGAAATAAAAAATTGAAATAAAAAATTGGAGTCCGCGATCTGAAAGTTTGAAAAAAACCATGACAAAAAGCAATTTGCAGATTTTTGAGGAAAGCGAAAAAAAAGTACAAAAAATCGTCTTTTGCCAATACAGCCGTTGAGAGGAAGGAGACGCAGGTGGTTCGAGCAAGTTTGCTAACATACGGAGACCACGTGAATTCATAGATCAGTTGCACTAGAGGAAATATTGTAAAAGTTTCAGATAATGATGAAATTCAGAGATTCTCATGAATAAACTATGAAATGGTTAGATTCCCTCTGTTCATTCATGCATAACTTTGCTCAAAGATTTGAAAAAAAGATTTTGCCATGAAACTTTATAAAAATTCGATGGTTCAAAAGTGAGGGGACGATAAAAAATAATTTTCTCAAGTTTTGTTAATACACAGTACAGTGCCGGTCAATAAGATAAAAAATGTTTTTCAGTTGATTTTGCCCATCTTCAAGGGTCTGGAGCTCGACTGTCAAGGGTCGGTTAAATTAATATACAAATAAAGTTCATGTTTCCACTTTTCAAGAGTTTTCTGAATATCTGGGTCAGAAATGTGAATTTTGGAATTTTGAAAACACGTTTGAATTCTGATATTTTTTCTCTATCCATTCATATAAAAATAAAGTTCACGTTTCCATTTTTAACAATTTTCTGAATATCTGAGTCAGAAAATTAAAATTTGCAATTTCAAAAACACGTTCAAGTTCTCGTAGTTAAGAGGATGGACGCCGACCAAAAGTTTTAAATTCATTAATGCTTTCAAGGAATATTAAAATCGTTAAATTTTTACTCACCGTTCAAGAATTGCCATTTTTCATACAGTTTGTTAGAGGGGATTTCACATGCCACTCGGCTCTCGGCGCCAATACTTGCACAAGTCTCTGAACACATTATTCTACGTATTCGTTAAGACTTGTGGGAGACTTGTGCAAGCTTGTGGTAGCCTTGTCCTAGACTTGTGAGGCTTGGCGAGGTCTTGTGTTGTTACGATAACAACAGAAACAACAGAAACAAGAGAATAAAAGGCTTGGCTAAGCCTCCCGCAAGTCTAGTACGAGCCTATCACAAGTCTTGCACAAGTCTCCCACAAGTCTTAACGAATACATAGAA